CTGATTTATTTATTTATTTATTTATTTATTTGAACAAAACTCTTCTGGGAAAGATATACAAACAATTGTTCTGGTATCCTGCTGTAAGAGGCATGAACATACCTGTGGGTAATGTTACCAATGAAAGGCAAAAAACCTGATAGTGCCATTTGGCACCTGCACTACAGAGAATATAATACTGCTTTTTTGAAGCTCAGATTTTACATGAGGTTTTATCATTGCTTGCAAGTTGAGGGTAGGACCTTAATAAACTGGTTTGTTTTCTTGAGTGCATCGCTTTGGTTGGTAAAACCTGCTGTTTGCAGTGGAAGTTTTACTTAACAAAGATGGATGAAATGTATGTGAAAGTTTTCCTGCAAACTTGATATCCAGTGCTGTTACTTAATATGAGTTAAACTTAAGAAGTGCATTTGTGAGAAAAATGCATTAGTGAAGGTCGTGAACTATCATGATTTTAAAAACTGTACCTATGTCCTAGATATTTTAAGACCTAAACGTTTTTGTATCTTGAGCTAGAAGAGTTCAGAACAGATGATTCAGGTGTATTGTTTGAGGAGATTGAACTAGAGACTCAGAAGCTGACAGCACTGTTCTGTATTATGCTTTTTTGCTTCTAGCAAATTTTATTGCAGAGGAAAAAACTACCAGTGAGCACTACAGCTGTCTCGCTCATCCTTCCAAAATCTTTTAGTCTCTTGAACAGCACATCCATGCTCCTTTATCCCTTGAAACTCTGCATCTTGTGGAACCAAGGGATCTAATTGTTCTTGTGAAGTTCTGCTTCTGGTGAAATTTTTGTTTCAAAAATTGTATTTTCCATGAAAGAAGAGTTAAATTCTTGTGATGGAATTTTTTCACCTAATGTTGGTGTTGGGGTGCTGAGAGTATTTGTCTTTTTTTGTAAATTTGTAAAACAAAGATATATTATTAAATAAAGTATTAATAATTTAAAATGTTAATGCTTTTAATAAGTTGTGAGTTGGGTTGTTTGTTGTTTGGGGTTTTTTTTAGAGCACCTCACAAGTTTTAACTGCTGTAATGCCCCTTGTTAGCATCCTTCAAGAGACAATATTTCAACATATGACTTCCAATTACAAATTCTTTGGCTGAAGGTGGTGTTGTATGCTAAACTGTCTGGTTGAAGTAGTTCCGCAGAATGTTAACAAACATTACACAGTGATTCACAGGGTTTTATGTAATTCTAAACATAAAGACTTTGTGCAATTTTCTTACTTTAGAAAGACAACAGATACAAAAAAGGCTGTTTCAATAGGTCACTAATGGTACAGACTTCTAAAAAGTTAACTGGATGGGGTGTACCTAATTCTCTTCACATTTTGTATATTGTATTAATATCTGAGCTCTTGGGAACCAGCTTATTTTAAGTCTTGTCAAGCTGCGTGGTTTCAGGGTCTCATTTATGCTGCTCATTTGCTTAACCCTCACCGTGGACTTTCGAAGCTGCAACACCCATGCAAGAGAGACTTCTTAAAGGGAAGACAAAACTGTCACACTCAGAGTCTGAGCAATTACACAAGTGATTGTGTTCATCATGAGAGGTTAATCCATTTTTAAATCAGATTGAGATATGAGAAATATGTTGTTGATAACTTCTGTGACACGATATGTGTCATAAACCACACACACACCCACTTTCAGAACTCTGTTGTCTCTCTGTTTGCTTTTATGGTAGTCAGTCATACAAAGTAGGAATGATTATGTAGAATAGTCCTAGTGCACTGAGAAAATGCAATAGGGAAGGAACTAGATCACTGTGTTGACCCAATTTTTACTCTAGACTATGTCCCTGGTTGTCTGTATAACTTTCACTGCATTTGTGTAGCTGTCTGTACTGTAGTTTCTCAAGCCTTATATCTCTTAAACAGATATGACCTTTCATTAGTTGGTAGTGGAGCTTCATGCTAGTGGTTCCATCCAAACACTGTTGTAATACTTAAAATAATTCTCTGACATGGAAAATATGGACTAAGTCTTAAGTAAAAATTTTTTTTCCCTCTTCTTTGAATTTAATAGTTTTGAAAGACCTCTAGAGTTCTTTGTAATAGTAGATTTAAAAGGTGTTTTCCAAATTTGTATTGAAATGCATTTTACCTGAAATATATTACTGACTCTGGAAAGTCAGCTTACATCAGAGTTGTCATTCTCTCATCCCATTCTATTATCAATCCATTCTAGAAATGTATGTATTCATTTAAGTGAACTTGGAGACCTGACTAATTTCTGTCTGAGTTCTTAAAATTACTATAGTGCTTCTCTGAGAAGAACAGGGACTACTTGGAGACAAAGCAAAAATTCGTATCTCCAAAAGGACAACAGTATGCTACTTTTTTCTTTGATATTAGTTAAAAGTGAAAACTCTTCCTTAGAGGAATGATTTAATTACAATTGGTGTTTGACATTTCCTCATCCCATTGATGTTAAATGTCACCTACAATGTGTTCATGTGGTTGTAGTCTGTTGTTTTACCACAGATAACTGGAGAATGACACATGGGCAAAGATACTCCATTTCCATATTCTCTCGTCCTTGTATGGATTGTTGCTGAAGATGCTGAACTAGTTTTCCTGTTAGTAAAATATGGAAATTCTCCTTTTACCTGCTTGAGTTGGAGGACATGAGGAGTCGCAAGTGGCCAAAGTAGGAGGGGGCTGAAGCATTTTTAATTGGGTGGGTTTTTTTTAAGATATGCCCACTAGAGAGCAGCAAAAACCTGTATTCCTGGGAGCTTTGGCTTATTCAGCTGATTAGGCATTGTCTTCCCCTTCTGTGGGAGGGGGAGAGTAGCTTCAGAGGGAAGTAGTGATGTATTTGTGCGGAGGAAATCATTCTGTTGTGTGTGACAGTGTACCGTGTCTCGGCAGGAGACTAGAAAGTAGTAGCATCAAACAGGAACAAAAGTGTGTATTGTATCAAATTGCTCTAACTGGGAATTCTGTAGCAAAAGAGAGGTGGAAACCAAGCCAATGAGGAAGATAAGATGCCAATGTGTTACTTAGTCATGGTTGTAACAGTGTGTCTGTACAGCTTCCAAGCTAGGAAGATGAATGAGTATAACAAGGTCAACCCAAACCTAATTTTTTACTTCAAGTAACTTGGCCTCTGTACAGTGACTAAATGTAAATATATCTCACTGAATATCTGTTTTTTGCTGTAGGCATTCAGATATATGTGTAGTTACGATGAGCCAAAAATACCATTTAAGTAGAAAAAAAGGTCATGGATGAAGCAAGTGAGATAAAGGTGTGCTTGTTAAAACAGTTGCAAGAAAGTGTGTGAATATTTTAGGAAACTTTTCAAGGTTTTAATGGGTTAAAAATAATTTCTTCAGGTGTAAATTGCCAAAGGCACAGCAACAGGAAAATAAATATTAAATGTTCTCATAGTTAAGCTCTGAATAATAACTTTCCTTACTTCCTTGGTTAGTGGGGGGTAGAGATATGGGTGGGAAATTGCATCTTCAAAAAGTGATACTGTTAAGATTCACCTTCCCATGTGCCAGTTCTCATTTCATCTACCTTCTAATTACTTTTTTCAATAATCTTCATAATAAATAATTTTGCAATCCCATTTCCGGGTTTTTTCCCCCTCCCTTTTTCTGACTGGTCTATGTGCTGGTGAATCTCTGAAGTCAGGTGATCTTTCCGTAGTGGGTCCTTAAAACTTGATCAAATCTTCAGTAACAGTAGAAGATGATTTGCAATTATTTGATTTGATTCAAGACCTTGCAGGAAGGAGGTGTTTTTGGAAAATGTTTCTCAGAATCCACACTTCGAGATGACGTGTATATATTTGAGAGCAGATCACCATTTATTTAAATCCATGATATACAGTGATAGAGAAGGATGTAAAATCCAAGGCAGTCCAGGTGGTTATATCAAACTCTTCCATTTAAGTGAAATGCCAGAGTTCAGATTTGTGGGACCTTTGGCTTTGCCAGCTGTTAATCCTCATGGTTTTGGTGGGAGTTTTGTATGTACCCTTGAAAGAGACTTTTTTTATGGCTCAGTACATTTTTTGGTATTTTGGTCATGAATGTTTAATGTTTTAAATCTTTCTAAATTTCTGTATTTTGTTCTTTCTTTATGCATGTACACAAGTCCCAGGCTAGCTTTTGGCCTCTACTGGTGAATAAGTGGAGGCAGAGTGTATTGATATTTTTGTTGTTGCCACTGCACTGTTTTCCGTCTGGCTTTGGTCTGGTAAATGCAGGAAAGAATAGAGAAAGAGATTAGAAGTAGTAGTCTTCCTTCTCCAAGAACTTCTGCAATGCAAAGAATGAAACCTGATCATCCTAGAGATGATTAGCCTGTCATTCCTGCTTCCCTCCCCTCCTGTACTACTGCAATTGATAGCTTTAGTAAATCACGAACTTGAGTAATGTAAGACAGCATTTTCCCGTGGCTGCATAAATAACAAGTCTAAACCACCACATTCTGCTTCTGTGACAGAATATGCTCTCAGGTCATGCAAGGTTTGGTTTTTAGTGAGGATTAAACTGTTATATGCCCTTTTGGCGCTAAATGAAAACCATCAAGTAATGTATAAAGTAATAATCTTGGGTAACCAGCAGCATCCTATTTGTCACTTAGAAAAGATGTACCTGTGGTTATTGTGGGAAAAAATGGCATTATTTGTATTTGGTTTGAAAATAGCAGAATAGCATGCTGTAGAGAATACAGTGCTGTTTAGAAGTTTGATCTTTAGTGTGAGGAACTGTAATGGAACTTATTTACCCGAAGGATAGGATTTCAGCCTTTCTCTTTTAATACATCATTATGTAAGGAGAGATGACTTCAGCTTTAAATTTTACTTTCTTCTGCTCGTCTCCTAATTTTTTTGTCCCTTGTAGTGTTGTCTTTCAGTGATTTGGCTCTGTGTTTATGTAACCAAAAAGATTACAGACCTCCTAGCATTTTGAATTTATATTTTCTTAGTCATTCAAGTTGTTTCTCAACTCAGAACGTGTACCAATACTAACATTAATGTTTTTTCTCAATACAGAATTAGAGTGTTACTGCCATCTATGTACAAAAGACAACTTTACGTGTGTGACAGATGGAGTATGTTTTGCCTCAGTAACACGAACTGCAGACAAAATAATACACAATAGTATGTGTATAGCAGAAGTTGATCTGATTCCCCGAGACAGACCGTTCGTTTGTTCCTCCTCCACCAGAGATGGAGTCTTTACTGTGCCTCATTGCTGTAACACGCCTCTCTGCAATAAAATAGAACTTCCAATTCCAACACCAGGTAACGGGGGTTTGGCTGTTTTTGTTTTTCCTTCGTTTTTTCAAACAGAAAATTCTATAAGCATGGAAGTTTCAGTTTTGGAAGTTTGTAGGTAAATTTGGAGGCCTGAAGTACATCTTATATTCTGCAAGTACAATTTCATGGTATTTGAATATTAATTGTAGTCTTCTGGGTAGGAATGTTGGGGCCAGTTTTGAAGACTTACATGCAAGTTAAATGGAAAGTGTAAGTAAGCACATTGTTTTTTTCTTTGTAATACTTATTTTGATTCTTGAAATGGTTACTGTGCAAAAGTTTTAACAAATACCTTGAAATAATTTGAATACTATAAGTTTAGTTGCATGAAAGGAAAGAAATAGTTTTACCATTTTCTTTAATTTTTACTGTCAGGCCCTACTGCAGAAAAACCAGCTTCTAATCTAGGACCTGTGGAACTGGCTGCTGTCATTGCTGGACCTGTCTGCTTTGTCTGCATTTCACTAATGTTGATTCTGTATATTTGTCATAATCGTACTGTAATTCATCATCGTGTGCCAAGTGAAGAAGACCCTTCATTGGATCGTCCCTTTATATCAGAAGGAACTACCTTAAAGGATTTAATTTACGATATGACAACTTCAGGCTCTGGTTCAGGTAAAGGCACACTTCTGGTGGTTATTACTCTGTTTTTAGGCACCTTGTAATTCCTCAGGGGTTTTTTTATATTGTCAAATCTATTCAAACTTATAATTAACTGGAGAAATTACTAAAAAAGCAACTTCCATGCAGATTCATTCAGTGTCAGTGAAGATTCAATGTATGGAAATAAGTGAAGTAAAAAAAAAAATGAGTTGTTGCTACTGTTACTTATCGTTCTTAGAGTAGCCTGATATATATATATATATATATATGTGTGTGTGTGTGTGTGTGCGCGCGTGTGTGTATATTAAATAATGCAGGGAATATCACAGTCACCTATTGTAAATGTTTTGTTTCCTGTAAGGCTCAGCCATTTACCTTTTTATTCTGTGCAGTACAGCTAAACTACCATCTTCTATGGTTTTTAGATAATTTGTGAAGGGTTTGTTTTTTTGGCTTTAAATTGGAAATTCATTTATAGGTGTAGCTATTGGTGTATGAAGAATATTCTGAGTTAATATTTTAGGCAGTTATGTTTGTTCTAGAAAGGATATAGGAAAGTAAGAGACTTAGAGATTATGGAGAGTTAGAGATTTACATATCTTGGAATGCAGAAAGATTTTATATATAATTGTTATGCTGTTAGAACCATAAAACTCCCTATTTAATGTCTCCAGATACAGACCTCTAAAGAAGGCTGAAAAGAAATTCTAATTAAAATTCAAACTTAGTTGTCAGTTGGTCTTTTCATTTGTTATCAGGAATATTCCTTCGTTTTCCTTTTGGCTTTCTTCCTTGTGGTGCTTCTGAACCTCTCTTTATTTGAAAACTCTGGAAGTACTCCTTCAAAATAAGCTCTTGAAAAGCAGAGAATCTAAGTTAGAAGAAACTTATGATTCTTCTTCTGGAGCAAATGGCTAGAAACTACTGACTATTCCCTTGCCTATTTGCAAATTACCCTTTAAGTAAAAGCAGTGTGCTAGGGAATTAGCTTTCACAGCTGAATTCAGGGCACTCAAGCTGGTCTAGACTCCCAGAGCACCTGACCTACTATAGTATTTGAGCACTGGCTACTGGTGAATGCATCAGAGGAAAACCAACAAATGTGGTTGATTTTGACTTACCGCTAAGGAGACTCTTTACTAATTTGCTTTTATGCTTGAAAGACAGTCACATTTCTTGTAAAACAAGACTGGATGTTTCCTTTAAAGGGATCTTTTAACTTCAGCTGCAGTGAGTTCCATGTTGTTGAGCTGTTTGTAAGACAAGGATTGACCTTATTTACTGTTCTGTACATCACTGTGATTATGGCAGTGAAATAGGAGATACTTCAGGTACTTGTTTTCTGTACTGTTGGCTGTGTATATATTTGCAATGACTTGTGTCACTGTCTCAAAATTAGTCAGTCAATGACTATATAAATTCACAGTGCCCTTGCACTTGAAATGATAATTTTCTTGTGTCCTGAAGTAAGCCTGCAGCAATTGAATCTCATTGAAATGTGTGTTTTAATCCGGAGTTTGGGTACAGCACATTTAAAATTGAGAAAACTGTACATTTATGGAATAAACTGGGGGTGGAAAAGAGGGTTGTGGAAGGGAGAAAAGCCACAGCTGCTAGTTAAAACAGTGCTTAACCCTGTCAGAAACTGAACTGTGTGAAAGGAATGGTGTTGGGACAAGAGATTGCAAAAACGCAAAGGATATGTACAGAACAGGCAAAATAATCCATACCTAAGAGGCACAGCTAAGGAAGTGTTTAGTCTGGTGACACAAAGGCTATGTTCTGCTCCTAAATTCATGCCGAGGGACTAGAAGAGCTCATAGTCTATAAATAAAAAGGATTCTACCGATTTTGTTAATTTGGTGTTCTCTAACGAGAGGTGTATAAAACAGAGAAATGATCAAAACTCTACAATTGAGCTTCCTGTGCAGATCAAAAGGGAGTTAGGATTCATTTGCTGCAATGGTGAATAGTAACCTGCTATTAATTATTCAGTCTTGACTTACGTTAGTGTTGCCCTGTTGTTCCATGACGAACAAGACCTGAAACAAGTAGATGCTTCATGAAAGGAATTGATGAAACATCTAAAATAGATCCTTCTGCTGAAGCTACAGCTTCTAAGAGAAGGATTTCAAAGTCTTTTGGAACTGAGAATGATTTTCAGATCATGATGTAAATCTCTAAATATCGGCTACATATTGTATAGACAGATGGGGATGCCCATCTGTTACTCTAACTCACTCAGTGATGAAGTAACTTAGTTGCAAAGGAGTGGAAAGAATTGCCTAAAATAGGGGGAAAGCTTTGAATAGTACTGGTAGGTGACTTCAAGCAGGAGCTATTTAGGAATCCAGAGGGTCCCAAAAATCAGTGCAAAGGTGAAGTGAATTTAAAGCTCCTTAAAAACTTCTGCAATTCATGCAAGCTTGAAGGGAATGAGATTTTTCAGTCCATGGAATGTTGTTTGGTTTTGTTTTTGTTACTCTTCGGAGAAAGTTTTCTGGGCAGAGACTTAAAAACGGGAACAAAATTCTAGCAGCTGCTCTTGTTGGCTACCTTTAATGCTTTAGAACTTAATTCCTGAATTATCCGGATTACTTACAAACTTCTTATGCATTGAACAGTCATTAGTCTAAACTAATTGGAGTATGGTTAGGATGTGGAAAAGAAAAAACTTTTTTCTTTTTGCTAGACTCTGAGAACACTTGAGGATACTTTGATGCATAAAAATGATGATGAAGGTTTCAGGAATAAATTGGATGACAATGGCTGAATACAAGGGGTCGAATCTTTCTTCATGCACAGTTAAAAGGAGCTGTATTCTATGAGCCTGAAGTATGGTTGTGCTGAATGTGTGTGTCAAAGGCTGAGGCTGTAGCTGTCTCCTGTGAGCTGCTTTTCAGGCAGTCTGGCTTATAGTACAGCAGATGCTCAAGTTCCTGGTGATGCAGGGCTGTGTTTCCTCTATAGCAAAAGGAGGAAACTGCTCATTTGCAACAGAAAGTCTGTAATGAATTGCTATGAATGCAAGATAAATATGGATTCTAATCTTCTGGTTTTGTTCAGGAGCAGTACTAGGAGAAAGGTCAGTTGCCAAAAACAGAAGTTGAATCTTGTAAAGACTGTAAAAATAAGTATAGGAGTAAGTGGATAGATCACAGTAGGGTTTTTATCCTATTGTGACATATTAATGTGATGATTGGGGGGTTGTAATGTGAAATAGAAATACTTCATGTCTGGAAGGTTTAGAGCTTAGTATCTGTTTAGAGGTTGGCTGATATCCTTGGACATATTTTTTAAACAAGGAGGGATGTCTACAGCAAGTTCAGAGCAGCGCATCTGAAACTGAAAATGTACAAACGGTTTTCTGATACCGCTGTGGGGAAAAAAGTACTAGGCCCATCACCCATTTCAGGTACATAAAATCAGCTTTGATATTGTATTTGATAATTGCCGGTGGACTTTGCAGTAGTACATGAGTTCTAAGGAAGAAGCTTTCTATGGCCAATGAAATCAAATTTTCCATTTTCAGGGTTGAGTTTGGTCCTGTAGTTGTTCTAGCCTTTTCTGTGTTTCAAAAGTCTGTCCATAAAGAATGCAAGTTAGGCTTCAAAGAAGAGCCTTAATGGTTTGGGCATGCAGCACAATTGACCTGAGGACAGCTATTACAGTAAAAGTTTTAACTTTCTCAGTAGAAATTATTGCAGTACCTGACAATGATAAAGTCACTGGTGCAATGTGCATTTTTATTCCTTTCTTTCTTCATGTAGGTATATTGTCAGCACAGATCATACAGAAAATTCCTGTAGGTCTGGGAATCTTGACCTTGGTTGAACACTGGAGTGTTTTAATTTGCACTCCTCAGACTAAGATACAAGCGTAGCAATGCTGCAGACCAGATCAGGTGTCCTTCTAGTGCTGCTGTTAGCAAAGAATGTCCAGAAATGCAGAAATGGACAAGAATTAGTTATTTGAGCTATTAGTTGGGATTTATTTTCTATAACATAAGGAAATACAGGTGTTCTGTCAGCTATTGGAACAGCGATTATGGAGTAATAGATTGCAAAGTGTTTGGTTTAAGTGAAATAATCCTGTCCCAAAAGAGCTTATTGTAAGCAGATAACCCGGCTGATGCATTCATCCTGCAGGATCCAGTGACAAGCCTTGCAGTTACAACAGGAAAGATTTAAAATTAACAAAAACCCACTCTGATTGAGGGATGCCACTGCATGTATAAAATTACTGAAGCATGTTAAGAGGTGCTCTGTGCTGAAAGCATGTAGATGTTCCAAAGCTATAAAATCTTCATGAATGTAAACCTTTTTTTCAAGTATAATTACTACAAGGTGCACAAGAATGGCCTCTAAAAAGGGAAGCTTCCATTACAAGGATGTTTTCCTATTTTGCAGTGACTTGGGATTACTAAGAGGCTACTGGCATACTTGGGCATGAGTATAAGTTTTCAGCAGTAAGTGTTGCTGATAAGTGTGGTTTAACTTTAAACTTAGAAATGGACGGTCATATCTAGTGCTAAGTAAATTTAATCATTAGCAACAGTATTCTTAAGCTGCTTTGCCAGGAGAGTTATGGGCAGATCCTTTTTCCAAAAATAAATTAAAAAAAAACCCAAAAACCCAAACAAACAAGCAACCAAAAAAAACTCCCTCAATCCTGGTCCTGATCGCTTCATGGTTGTTTCTTTTTTTCATTTAAATAAAATATTATGAATCAGCAAGTGCCCACATTCTTAACTGAAAGGAAGCGTGTGTCATGTTTTTAACAATTGTAGCATAATGTAATGTAATTTGTAACATAATGTCCTAGAGTACTTGTTTTGCTGGCATTTAAGGTTGAAGGCAGAATCCTACCTCTGCTTGTCAGCAGTTCACAACAAGCTGAGAGAATGTGCATTCTAAGAGAAATACCTTAATGGAATAGGATCTCATTTATTATTTGGGATAAGTGCTTGTTTTGCTGGAGTGATATTTAAGGTTAATGTAAAATCCTCTTTTCAGGTTTACCTTTACTTGTGCAAAGAACAATTGCAAGAACTATAGTACTTCAAGAAAGCATTGGTAAGGGTCGCTTTGGAGAAGTCTGGCGAGGGAAGTGGAGAGGAGAAGAAGTGGCTGTGAAGATCTTCTCTTCAAGAGAGGAACGTTCATGGTTTAGAGAAGCAGAAATTTATCAAACAGTTATGCTACGCCATGAAAACATACTTGGATTTATAGCTGCAGACAACAAAGGTTGGTGATACTATGAATTCATTTTACTGTTTCTGTACCTCGTCGGAATAGACAGTACATGAAGGGGAAAATAAAGTTGTGAGGATCCTGTTAAGAGTAGCAAGAAATGATTTTGTTACTAGAGCATTTCAGGGTTTGACAGGCTTTTCATAAGTTTAATGAAGGAAAAAAGTACATTGTCTCTTTTCAGGAAAACATGCTTTCTATACATTTGTTTAAAATGCTTTGATATCAAAAAGGAGATACCTTATCATGTGAGCCCACACATCTGTTGAATACTTGTACCTGTAATTACCTAATAGCCTAATAATATACGTGCTTGGAACCAAAAGAGATCTAATCTCATTGTCCCGATATAAAGTAGGAGGTAGAAGATTTATTTTTAAGGCTGAGTTATGAGAAGTTTATTCTTTCAAAACTCCAGTTAAAAAATAAATTGGAAAAATGAAATTAACGATTTGTTCCTAGGAGCAAAAAACTATACCTGCTTTCTGGAGCTCTCCTGATAAGTCTTTAAATATCCACTAAGAGGAACAGTTTAAACATTTTTTTTTCAGCTTGAATTGTTGTGGCTACAGTAGATTAAAGTTTCTTGGATTTTCCTGCAGTCCAGTTTAAGATGCCAGAGTTTGGTAAAACCTAAACAAGTTTTGAATTTCTTGCCTTAAGGGGAGCTAAGATGTTACACTGTTTCATTGAGTTACTTTCATCTGAAACTGCATGTTTCACCACAAATGGCCTTTGACTTTTTTGCAAAGAAAGCAGAAAATTCTGTCACTTTAAGGAGGAGTCAAGAATTCACACACATGCTGAATTCTTAAAGGGCTCTCAGTTTTGTGGGAAATTCCTAAATGGTTTTAGTGTAGTTGAAGTATATGTGTAAATAGAGGGGGGGTTTAATTACTCCTAGATTAATTTCAAATTTTTATATCTATATAAATTTGTAGAACTGGGACAGAATCCAGGAGATTATGTGGAACACTTCTCCAGGAAAGGATTACCTGCAGTTAACTTGCTCCTAACAGATATTTGTGCAGCTTGTTATCCTCCAAGAGCTTGCAGATCTATACCATACCAGGCAACTTCTTCCTGAAGCTTATTATGCTTACCATTAGAAACTGTCTTATTTTCATACTTAAAATTGTACTGGCTATTATTAGTACCTACAAGAGCTTGAGTTTTTCCTGGTGGACCTACTAGAGTATCTGGAGCCTGGGTTTAAAATTAGATTAGTTGCATTAAAACCATAAATGAAAAACCATTGCTGCAGAAGCTTTAGCTTCTGTATGTCACTTAAAAACATGGAGGATGTATTACAATACCTTGGCTATAACTTTTAACAAAATCCATCAGTGGTTAAGTATACCAGTCTCTCGTTTTGCCCAAAACCCTCAGGTAGTTTGTCCCAAAAATACACTTGACTACTCTGCAGAGGAGGTATGAGGAAGGCTTCTTAAATGGTTGGCTTTCAAAAATAATTTCTTGATTACTGTTTTGAGTTCCAGATGAAATAGTGTCAAGTTCCATTTGACTTGATCATCATTAGGTTCCTTTTAATATAATGTGATATGAAATTGTTTCTAGTTTCTACTGTTAATATGCTTTACATACAAAGAAGAAATCCTTAATTGATAGCTCATGCCATTATTGGAGGCTTTAGGGCTTCAAGGCAAGGCTCTTCTATTTTCTTGAGAACTAGTTGGTGACTGGTTTACGAAAAACGGATAAAAACATGTTTTGAAAATGCTGCTATTCTTGACTTTTTTCTAACAGTATTGCTGTCTGAGCAGATGTAGAAAGTTGTGTTATTTTTAACTCATCAATCCAGAATTAATTCTCAGTGTAACCTTCTACCTTCTCTCAGTGGGGAAATATGTACCCACCATTCTCTCTCTGGGTTAAGAATTCAGTCCTGAATATTGAAGGAGGTAAATACTTCAACTCTTGCTAAGAATACTTCAGGCCACCTATATCCCATTAAATGGGAGGACCTAGAGGGACAATTATGGGGGTAGTTCTTTCAGTTTAGCAGGTGTGCTATCCTGGTACTCTGAAAGGGGCAGGTGTATCACAAATTTGCCTTCAGAGACCAAAGGCTTAAGAACACCTGTTAACAGTCTTTCATTGTAGGTGCTGGTACTAACTGATAAATACTTATTAGGTGCTGGGTGCAAGATGAAGTATTCTTTCACAGCGATAATATCTGAAGGATTTACATCCATTTCTCTGTAGGGCAGACTGCTGAATGCATTCAGGAGTTCCTACAGCCTATCTGGAATGCACAAAGTCATTAGACTGCAGGATGTAACTGCATTTCTGAGACATTGCAAAGATGACTACAAGAGATACAGCAGTACAAGTATTTTTAAAGTTGGCAAAGGACTAGTACAGCAGAGCTTTGAAACAAAGTCATGCTGCGTTTCTTGCTACTGCTTAAAGGCATTGTTTAGGTCTGTCCTCTTACTGCAACTGTATGTTTTTCACAACTGCGGGGGAACATCTGTCTGGCCATTGTAGTGTACAATTGGTGGAAGGGGTTCCTTTGGGTAGGAGGGTGTGTGTATAGATTAGAGCTTGTGACTGTCTTCACTTCTTGTTCTACTACACCATTTAGACAGTCCTCATGCCTTAATGGCACATTCTCTTCCTCTTCTTCCCCAGAGCTGCATGTTCAGAAGGCTATAGGAGCTGGTCCAATCTATCTGCTTCCCATCCCATAATTTACTGGGAAATACGTGCTGCTATTAAGCCAGCTTGAGAGCTGAGAAGCAGTGAATGATTTTTAACTGCAGTTGTGTTCTGTCTGACAAGTGTCTGTGTTCTGGATAGCTCTGTGCTTAGCCACGAGTATACACTAACTTTCAAATACTGCTAGGTCAGGGAAATTACTTTCAGGGCCATGTGTTGTCTTGTTATAAACCACCTAAACACACAGTTTGGGTTTTGTGGGTTTTTTTTGTTTTGTTTTGTTCTCTCTAACCCAGATATTTAAAGGTAAAGTGTATCAGGGACTACTTATCTATGCTATTCTACTAACGAAAGAGTAGTGACAGCAACCTACAGTGCTAAAAGTTTCTCTTGATTAGCTGTCTGTAACCATAACTGTGTAGTCATGGTACAAGTAAGGCGAAGTCTTGTACTGCACGCTTCCAAAGCACTAAAATACTTTGACCTCCCTTCCACTTAACTGAAAGCTGCACTTCCCTTGGTGGAAGTTTTGTTCAGAGTACCTTTAATGGTAAGCAGAACCCCAGGAGTGATGTTAAGCAACATGCTGCAAAGAAGTGAGCAGAATTCCTTCCTCTTGAGAAAAGTAATATTTGAGCCATTTATTCTTTTGAAGCTCTGGCTTTAGCCTGAGAATAAGGAATTTGACTGGAAGGTCTTGCTAATCTACATGGTTCAAGTGCTTTTCATCAATTTAATCAGATGACTATCTCAATGTAATAGAGTAAAGCTGTTTTGCTAGCAAAACACCAATCATCCTCCAGTCACTGACATCTCCCTGAATATCTCATTTCTAAGAGTTTTCTCATTACACACATTCCATCTGAATCTTATATTTTCACTGCTTTTTCATGTTGGGTTTTTTGTGTGTGTTACATTATCTCCATGCCAAAAAAGGCTAAATCTGTGCTTTAAAACACTTGACACATGACATGACACTACTGAACAAATAGAATTAGGCAGTTTCTGTAACAACTTCTGTACATTCAACTTGTAACATAAATGTATGTTTGAAAACCCTTGTGCCAAGCAATACTGTCATGGCTTAAAACCTAGTATTTGATTTAAAAACAAACATGTACCAAGTCAGAATTTTTGCTTTGCTAATGCCAATGTGAAAGAAGCACTTTTCACTTAAGTGAATTCAGTCAATTGAATTTTAATTGAAACTTGATTATATATTTGATAAAGCAGTTGTTATAAATTCCTTTTTTCAAGAGTCAACCTGACTAAGGTTGATGTTGCTGACTAAGGTGTTTCTCAAACTGTAGTCAGTCTCCTGATTAACAAGAAGTCTAAAAGCTTCTTTACTCAGAATTTCAATTTATTTTTTTTTAGAATTGCAAAAGGAAAGCTTTTACCTTTGAGTGATTTTGATGGTCTAAAATACTTTTGGGTCTCTTGCAAATAGATGAAATAACCATAGTCTCTTAAATGTATTTCTAATAACATATGTAAATTTTTTGTAATTTTCTTCAACATTCTGAAATTGCTTGAGATTCTTGATAGTTGTGTGTATATAAACCAAATTAGATTACCTTATCATGGAAGGCTGTGCTACTGTATGTAATTACAACTGAGTGTCATTACTTTTTCTTACCTGATAATGCAAATCCTGTGATTGAAAGCTTCATGGCAGATGCTGTTTACTGTGCAGCCAAAAATACTCAGGGTCAGGTTAATTATTACTTGGTAATAATTAACTACTGTCAACAGTATAAAAAGACTTAAGTTTATCATAATGTGTTCTGCTTCATGTGCTAAAAAATTTTATAGCTTGTCAAATACAGCAAGGCAAGAAAAACATAGTAGGTCCCCTCTGATAGCTGGACACTGTATCTATTGCTGCATTTCAGCTTGTCTTTAATAATTATTCATGTAAGCTTGGATGCAACATTGTCTCTTATTAAACTCTGGTTGAAGGGCCACAAATACAACATATAATACGAAAAAATCGTGGCTCCTTTCAGAATGGATGGTAAGGCCAGCTTTATATTTTCTTCTTTGGAAGGAAGGTAAAAACTGAATATTAAGGCTTACAGGTAATAAATGAGTTAAAACTGAAGTAGAAGTCTGTAATCAGCAGCATATTTTCCTCTTAGGTGGCCATGTAGAGTTAAGAGGGAGGAACTTTATGCAAAGGGCCCGTAGTCTTGATTCAGAGCAGTGATAATTATTCAGAAACTGACATCTTTTAAAGAGCTTATATAAACACAACAGATCTGGTAGATTAATTAAAATTAGTTTATTTCTCTACTTTTTGTTGTCTAATTTAGACACTTGCTGAGGTCTCTCATTCATAAAAAAGAGGAGAAGTAAAATACAGGACCAAGCAATGAGTGTGTATGGTGTTAATGCCTAGGAGAGGATTATTTAAGGCAGTGTAGGGTCATAACTGATGAAGTAGTAGGATAAAACTGAGTGAAGAGAATATTCTGAAGTGATTAAGTTAGTTTACTTTGGACTTTTGCAGCTCTTTGGAGCTCTTTGATTATATGTATTTGAGAGTATCTCTTATGTGGCTGTGAACTCACCTGTTTCTAAGGGGTCTATAAAACTGCTTTTAGTGAAGCTAATGCTGTTAGATTGACTTTTCAGAGACCGTAATTCTCTTTGAAAAAAGTCACATTTAATATTATGCTGAGTTAAATGAGTTCATGCTTGGATATTGCAAAGTAGCAAGAGAAGGAGCAGTTCTAGAAAATAATTGAAGCTATTAAAAAAAAAAATCTTTAATTTCCTTATTCTTTGTTAAAAGACAAAACTCAGGCATCCCTTCTGTGCCCAAGTCTGGGCATATTATAAGACTCTTCCTGCTGCAATAGCAGCTTTCAAACAGCCCTTTACAGGTTAGAGCATGTGACTGCTTTCTTTTGCCTGTTTAAATTAACAACTTAGTTGAGACTATTCTGTGAATGTAGCAAGCCAGAATTCTCTTTCTGTTATGGGAATTATTTGAATGTAGATTAGTCTTTTATTTCCCTACTCTGAAGTATTTGGAGGCCTTTTTTTTTTCAGATTGTTTTTAGTGGCGTTGTCACTGGCCTCCCTAGGAACATCCAAGTAAAAGACATGCTTGCAAATTTTCCCATGCCCGCTGAAGTGTTCAGTTAAAGATAAGCATAAGTGCTTTCATGAAGGTAGTTTCTGCCAATCTGTAAATCAGGCATTTTGTGCCTCTGACTTTCATGAAGCAAGTGTGTTCTTTGGAAACTAAAAATCTTTCAGTGTGTTTATGATAGGAACTAGCTCCTGAATTTACTTCTCTGCTTCATGTTCTTTGTATTTAGTTCCTGAGTAATTCTTAGGGACTAATACATAATGAGACATCTTTTTGACTTCTGCTGAGTGTTCTCACTTGTTCTGAGCACATGGGGGCTGTATAGTTCAGGATAGAAGTCCAGTTGAAATCTTCTATGGGATAGTTAGTCTTCTAAAGAGATGAAAGATTCTTCTTCAGAAGTTGCTAGCTATAAAAGCACTTCTCAGGTCTGCCACTGGAGAGTTGCTTTCATAACAAAACAAAATTGGAAAACCTATTTGGTGGCAGAATTGTTCTTTTCTGAGTGTGTTTTTACATCTTAGGTAAAAAATCCTTTTACCCCTCTCTTGATTTGGACTGCTTTAATAGTCTTCTCTGTGTGGCTTAAACTTCAAGGTATTTTGTGTCCAGTATTTTACAATGTGAACAACTAAGTTCTTATCTGTCATTTATATGCCCTGGAATATCTACACATGTATTATGGCCTGTCCTGTTTTTCACAGTTCAGCAAAAAGTCATGCAGCAAACTGGTTTTCTCAGTGTTTTTCTTTATTCTTGTGCCTCCTGGAAATCTCAATTTTGGCCAGCAATTTAGAGGTCACTAGAGGTGGGATTTAACTTTATTCTTGAAGTCATGTGTCCAATTGCTGCTTGTAAGCTTCTACTCTAGGAAAAAAAATCCACCAGCTGCTGGTAACTCTGAAAATTGTCTCCCAGGTTGAGGGTAGATTATGGGAAGACTGAAGGAGTTAGGAGGCATAACTTGAAACACTTTTTTTTTTTAATTAATGGTTAGCCTGGACAATATTGTATTAGTCTGATAGTGACAGGATTAGTTTTATGTTGTGCATTCAGCACTGTTTCCTGCCTCCCCACACTCCAGCAGAACAGTTGGGAATGGCAGGGCCTGGCTAATAACCTGAGTAATTCACTCTGAATATTCACCTCAGAATTACAGTGACATGAGTTTTCTATGGTTTGTCTTCTAGTTTAAATAAAAGAATACTTACTAAGATGTTCGGAAAGCCTCCCATGATATTGTCAACCCTTACAGAGGTGTTTAAATGTTACACAGATAGAAATAAAAATTTAAGAGTCTTAACTTGCTGAGTTAACTTGCAAAACATAATTTGTGCTTCATAAACATTGTATAGAAGTGGAATATGTGGTTTACTCGTCTTTTGTGTGTGTACATGTGTTATTCACGCCAGTGTTATTTTGCAGACAATGGGACATGGACTCAGCTGTGGTTGGTGTCAGACTATCACGAGCATGGATCACTCTTTGATTACCTGAACAGGTATACAGTAACAGTGGAAGGAATGATAAAATTAGCTTTGTCCACTGCCAGTGGTCTTGCTCATCTGCACATGGAAATTGTTGGCACACAAGGTAATCTTACAATTTTTCATCTTGTCACATGGATAATACTGATTGGTTTTCTGTTTTTTTTTTTTTAAATGACACATCAGTAGTTCATTCTACTATGATAATTTCTTATTAATAGAACTTAATTTGGACAGCTCTTTGTCTTTCTTTCTATGGCATTATGATGTAACAATCATTCCTACAAAAAAGCCTATTAAAGGGCACCAACTAATGGTGCATGTAGTGTCTTCTTAACTTCAAGTTGAGACAGCACTAAGGGTCTATTTCCAGAAATGTTAGAAACTTTTTTATGGGAAGCAGTATGTGTGTGCTGTAAATATTTGCAGGAAGAGGGAAAGGAGCAGTAGAGTGGTATAATATGGTAAATGTGAGGCACTTTCCTTATCAGCCAGACAATCCACAAGGAATGATTTCAGGAGTTACCTTGATACACGTAAAGTGTCAGAACTGGAAGGAATTCTGTAACTTCAAACAAAATTTGCACCAGGCTTAGAATAAAAGCAGTTTGATTTTTTTTTTATTATTATTTTTATTTTTTTTTTTGTAGATATGTTACTTCTATTTTTTCCCTTCCAGGCAAACCAGCAATTGCCCACAGAGATTTGAAATCAAAAAATATATTGGTGAAAAAAAATGGAACGTGCTGCATTGCAGACCTGGGATTGGCAGTTAGGCACGATTCAGCTACAGACACAATTGATATTGCCCCAAACCACAGAGTGGGAACAAAAAGGTAAAATCATTCACGTGATTTGCCAGGCGATGTCTATAATAAAATGCTTTGTTTTTTCTTGTCCCATATAGGTTTTTGTTGATATAGATATAAGCAGCAGGGAAATGTAATGGCAGATATAGTTAGAGAGTAAGAACTTTAAAGCATGTTGATTGTTGGCATGTGTAAAATACTGAAAACTTGCAAAATATTGTAGGTACAAGTATGTATTAAAACAATTAAGACTGATGGTTTTAGAGACTTCAGTGCTTTATTCTTGCCTTGTGTTGCACGAAAATGTTACTTGCAGCCCAGTCAGGCAGGAGTGTAAGACAGGATATTAACACTGAAAGTAAAAAGCTGGGGTTTTCCAGTGTGAAGCCAATATGGTAGAACATAAAAGGTGCAGAGTCTTGGACACGTTCTTTCCTGGAATCACATTTTTGAGAGAAATACAAGAACTTAAAACAGCAGTCCTCTTTGTCATCTAATGCATAGATAGAATCATCAATGGATGAGTCTTTTAAAAGACTACTTTTGCATTTGGAAATACGGATTTTTCTTGCCCTCAAAAGAATTTGAAGCTGTTTAACTCCATCAGCAAACTGCAAATAAACTTATTGGTTGTAATATATCATTGCTGAACCATCAGACAATAATAACTGTAAGCTGTTCTGAAGATAAATTTCCTTTAGTAAGCTGTGCAGCTATACAGCATACAGAGATAGCAGCACTAACAGTGAACCATAGCAACCATTGGGGATGTTGGAACGTTTTGTTCTTTTGATGCCTGAAGGTTCAGTGGTATGGCAAACTGAAGTTTGGACACTGGTCATGGAGAAATGTGTGACAGCCAAGCCTATATGCCTTAGCAGTGTTAGAGAAAATTCTGTGTGGGATGTTGCCTAGTTTCCAGTCCACACATAAAAAATACTTTTTTTATGTATCTCTATAGGTAGTGATATTGCAGAGGAGGGGTGTGATGTGCGTTTTACTGTGAACTAGGATGCCCCTTGAGCTGTGTCTTTTTGGAAGGAAAAACCCCAAAACATTATTTTAAGGCTCAATTAACTAAAGCTTTTAGAACATGTACTGAAAATTTATTTTTCTTACAATTATATTATTGAAGTTACTTCGTTCTAAAGCTCTGCTGTACTAGTCCTTTGCCAGCTTTAAAAATACCACACAAATTGTCAGATAGGATTTATTTTCTGAACTACTGCTACATTACAAGGTACTGGGCGTTATTCCTTCTCAAAGTCTCTAGTAATCATTGGTAGTGAAACAGCAGGCTAACTTTGGAATTTGTCATTGCAAACTTAGCTACATGCAGGGCGCATACCACATGTGATTTTGTATTTTCTACTACACCTATGTGCCAAGAAAAACAGTGTACAAATCGGTTACTCTCTTTAGTCTAGTCATTGGAGAAAGCATCCTTTCAGCTGTGTCTGTAGATCCCACTTACCAGACTCTTCTTGCATAGGCATTATTAAATTGCTTGTTCATCTGCCTTTTGTTTCTTCTCAAGGGTAAACCTGTAGTAACTCTTGCTTACTGCAGTGGGCACCTGCAGAACTAATAAGTTTCCCATTTAAAAGACATTAGTTATTTCTACCTCTCTGAAAATTGCTTATTCTTGTAAAAGTCTTGGTCCCCTCTTCCTCCTTCTTGTGCATTCTTAGGTAACTTGTTCTGCACCTCTGATTAATTTTTCGTAATACAGGTCAAATCTTACCTGTTCAGTGACAGTTTTAGCTCCCATTGATTGCCACTGCTGGTAACTCTTCTGCACATTGAAGCTCTGTGTACAAGTTCAGGGGGATTTGACAAAGTTTATATTTCTGTAATGATTGTAAAAAATGTATGGTCTAGGGAGTAAACAAACTCACTCTCGGGTGAGTGAATGAGGTGTTGAGTCAAACTGATGATCCTTCTTTTCTGACTTTATTTCTTTTCTGTTCAGAGGCTTAGCTTTACCAGAGGGTGTGAACTGTGTGCTTTCATAGCTCAGCCTGCAGCATAAAGCAGGGAACATGAGCTTTAAACTGAGGAGGAAATAGAATCCCTCTCTCACTCCCTCAGGCAAGTAAAAAAGCCCTCATTCTCATTCTGTTTTTATTTCTTTTAGAAGTGTGGCCTAGCTGTTACTTTTGGTAGTTCAAATAGGCTGTGTTTAAAAGACATTTGGCAGCAAATTCTTCCTTTACATGGGTGCTTCTCTGAAGTTTACCTGAATCAAATATGAGCAGAATTCTACCTTGTGAGTATAGGCTTGATGGAGATGTCACAGTCAGTAGTGTTGTGTATGGGTCTTGTTTGATGACACCAAGCTCCCTCTATGTTGTACATGAAATTTAGGCAATTAATACTGAGTTTTTGGGGTCAGGAGGCACCCAAAGTTTGGCAAGACCATACTCAACAAATCTGTATACTTGTGCTTTCATTCTTGGATGATACAGAACTGCAAACCTTGTTCAGAAGGTCAGAGTTAGTCTGTGTAGAGTAGCTCTCTCTAGAACCTAAAATACTGTTTCTGGCAAGCAATGCATTTCCAGTGCATAAGCTGACAAGGAGATGCCTGCTTCTCTCCCTTTTGTGTAACAGCCATGAATGGCTCATCTGCTAACCTCATTTAGATGACCTACTTGCCTTTCGCCTCTCTTCTTCCAGCAATAATCTCTCAGACTTTTTGAGCAATCACCATTCAGTGTTATGGAAGCCAAAATCAATCTAAATGCATTGATCGAGGATCATGGTAAGAGGTCACTTTGCCCATAAATTCAATGGAAGTCACACTGGGGGGAGGGATTTTTTGCCACATTCAGGTCTCTTATGGTCTTACCTGTTAAACCCCTTGTCCTTAGGATGATTTACAGAAGCTGAGACAATCTCCTTTATTGCTTGTTTAAGTGATTCTGGCTGACCTCTTGCACCATGGTTGAGGTTTTTGGTTTGGTGTTTCTTAAGGTCCATCACTCTTCTCATCCCCATGTGATCTTAAGATAGAACAAATATGCTTTGTGCTAGGTTCCAAGCTGATTACTATACTGTCAAGCACATGAAGTAACACAAGAGTATTCAATAATGCAAAATCCTTGGAGAGCATTAAAACACTCACCACAGTCTTACATTCTTGATTAAGATGTTTTTGATATGGTGGACCGGAACTATTTGAGCCTTGTCCGTATTAAAGCTTGTGACATGTAAACTTAACTTGACTGAGCTTCTGTTCAATAATTACTATTAAAGTAAACCTTACATTCCACTTCAGACAGTTGTCCTCTGCTTTGTGCTGTGTTTATCAATTGTGAGGAATTTGTGTGCTTTAGAAGAACTCTCATGTCAGCAAACCTTGTTCTGGGTAGTTAGAACAGATGCAGCTACTGGTTGTGGTTTTGCTCCTTTTTTTGATAGCCCTTGCTTCCTTGTGTCTGTGTAATTTCCGTAATACACAGTAGTGCTGAGAGAGTTCTGAAGGGTGTGATAATCTTGACATTTATTTTAAGTAGTGTTTCTTATATTCTCTCTACCATCTGTGGTACTGCAAAAGAAAGAAAACCCTAGTATTATGTGATTAAATGAAATTGTGCCCAGGCTTCTGTGGCTGTTCCAGGCACTGTATTCTACTCCAGTAATCTATACATGTTGCTTTCCTACCAATCAACAGTGCTCTCCAAAGCCCTGGTGCCATTCTTTGCATGTTTCTTTCATGTCAGCCTGAGACTGATGGGGCAGTGATGTGGAGAAACACACTGAACTCTGCTAAACACTACATACTGGATTTAGCTGCCAGAGCCATACCAGAATGAGAGAGCAAATACTACAATTGATGTTGACTTGATGCAGCAAACACCATTCATTCTTTCCAGCAGCCAGTGAGGATGCTGCTGTCAGTAAGGTCCACACTGACATTTTGCTTGACGTTCTCACATTAGGCTTAGTCACTAAACAAGGTAACAATCGCTTGGATGCCATGACCAGTTTTCAGTCCTTGTTTCTCCATTGAAAATTTGTCACAGTTTTTTTTTGGTTGGTTTTGTGTTGTTTTTTTTTTTTTGCTGGGAATGTGGATAAAGTAAGCTTGTGAGCACTCGTTAAAGCGTAACCCAAATAGAATTTACTATTATGATGAAGAATGAGCTGCTGCAATGGTAGGGAGCACTTCACACCTATTCCCTCTCTAGTCTTGTTAGGGGATGTTTTAAGTGGCTGCTATAACTTGTCAGATTCCTGGAACTGGGGCTTCCTCCTACCTGCCCTCTGGAGCCCAGCTGGTGTGTCCTCTGTTCATCTGAGGCCCATGGATGTGGCTGCTGCTTGCTTTCTTGGGATTCAACCAGTCATACACAGACATATATACAGTAGTGACAGGGCTGATTACACAGATTGCTATGCACCATGTGCTGTCTTCAACACCCACATAAAACACTGTCAGAACTTGTATAAAACATAAGTATAGACAGCCAAGTCTCCTTCCTTCTCTTCAGCTGATCAGAATTGAACTTCGTTACTGAAAAGCACACACTCCCTTCTGCAGCCTCACAAGTCCGTGCATGTTTATGAATCCCTCAACCCTCCATACAACACTCTCTGTGTCTAATACTCTCTTTGGTGCTCCGTGGGTCTCCTACTCATCAGCTGGATTAGTGCACAGTAGCAAAGAGGTGATGTATGCACCCCTACATGCACCCCTACTCCCTCAAATACCAGTGTGGGCACCCCCCTGTCAAACATCCCTGCCTAGGCCACCTAGTTACTGGTCTAGACCAGCTTGAAGTTTGCTAGAGAATTACAGCCATGTACACCAGCCATGTATACAAGGTTTGGGGAAATGCAAACTACCTGGCCCACCCTAGCAGCTGGCACCCAGGCACGTAGACCCGTGACTCCCACTCCAGTTGCTGGTGCTGGGAGACCCTTACTCTGCTTTTCTCAACCCCATTCTCTCCTGTAGCTGGTGCATGTAAGGTGTAACCGTGAAACCTGTGACCCATGGTCCCACTTCAGTGGGACTGAAGCAGAGACCCTCATTTACTCTAGTTGCTGGCACCAGGGATTCCTTCACCTGCTGTCTGACCACAGTTGCTTGCCTAGAATTTATTCACATTGGTCCCCTCGTAGTTGCTCCAGATATTTGGTCTTAACACCTGTGGACATGTACTCCTAGGATCTGCATTTCCCCTTTCAGCTACTGATGTTGAGATCCTCCTTTTCTCTAGTTGCTGTGACCCCAGGCCTGAGGGCACCTTCATCCCTTGTCCCACTCCAATTGCTAGACCTGAATTCACTCATACTTGCCTCCAGTTGCTGACATAGAGTTCCTAGAGAACATGTGCACATGGGGTTGAGAGTGAGATTGCACAGAAAAATAGTATTTAATAAAATAGGGTACACTGGGGAGCACGTGCAGACTGGCAACCTTTTATGCAACTGACCCCTTTGCTACCCTTTTCTATCTATTGCCCCACTTCTGTTCCCTTTCTCCTAAACATTCCTTGATAAGCATTGCATAACCACAGGCCTCCCTTGAGTATCCACAGTCCTCATGTTCCTCTTGTTTTCTATTTATTAGCATTCACAGTGTCCAGACTGGGCCTTTCTAAAGCTATGAATTTCTTAGTAACCTATCAATTAGCAACTGGACACTTTTGGTCTTTGTTGTTGTCTCTGTTTATGGGTCTACTTGTTTGTAGTTTCACATTTACTTTTTCCCCCCGTTTCTTTGCTTATTCCTCTCAGTTTACTTATCCCCTTTGCACTGAAAGGTCTGTGATTGAATAACCTTAATGAAGCAGATTTTCCTTCGTCCTCTTTTCCGCATAAACATTTTAATTTGATTTTGAGCTGATCAGTAGTAGTGAACTTTCTCTGCTCTAAGTGTTTATGAAATTAAATGGGTTTTTTTATTGCAAACAGGTACATGGCTCCTGAAGTTCTAGATGATTCCATAAATATGAAACATTTTGAGTCATTCAAACGAGCAGACATCTATGCAATGGGATTAGTCTTTTGGGAAATTGCTCGGCGATGTTCAATTGGTGGTATGTGACAATCTTTACGAAATTGTATATACTGAAAAATTTTAAGTAACGTACTCAAACTTATTTAGATTCTGATAACAGCTTGCTCTAAAAACAGTGCAAGATAATAGCCAGTATGTCTCAGACTTTCTAATTGTTAATGCTGTAAATGATGACTGGTCTATTCAACCTCATTCTAAACTGATGAACCATACTTGTTGAAGAAAATAGGAAATATTCATGTCTATTTTTTTTTTATAAAACTTTACATAGAGTGGAGAAAAGGGTGAAGTTAAGTGTTCTGTGAGCAAGGGGCAAACACCACAAGTGAGAACTAGCTAAAATGTGTCCAGATAAAATCTATACCTTATTTAAAATGAAGCATGCTGTTATTAATTATATGCTCTGAAGAAGTATGTCTTTAGTATAGCATATGAAAGATTTGACGTAGCTTATATCTCTTCCAATTTTATAAATTTTAAATTCTTCAAGGGTAATGTAAATGCTCCCAAGTTATGGTTAAGGGGTTTTTTATTATTTATTTATTTGTCAGTCATTGTAATGTAACTTTTAAAAATAAAAACCAAAAACTGGTAGGGTACTAATAAGGAAGACAGTAAAAAATGGAGAATATGTCATCTAATGTCAGCTAAAATAAAGCCATTTTCAACCTATTACAGGAATCCACGAAGATTACCAATTGCCATACTATGACCTCGTTCCTTCAGATCCTTCTGTCGAAGAAATGAGGAAAGTTGTGTGTGAGCAGAAGTTAAGGCCCAATATTCCAAACAGATGGCAGAGTTGTGAGGTATTAACTAACCTTGTTAAAACCGCTTTAGCAGACACTAGAGCTTTTAGTGATTTCAGTGGCTTAAAAACTGTGCTTGTTGTTGAATGGAGAAGGGCTGCTTCTAGGAGAACCTAATTAATTTCATTCTGATCATTGTGGCTTTATTAAATGTCATTGTTCCTTGGTTATACACTAGTATTTAAATGTATTTTCATAAAAACTAATAGCTAACTCTGCATGCAGGATTCTAGGATCCTTCCTGTGAAGCATAGGTGATGCTATTTAAATTAGAGCTAGTCTGAATTATATTATGCAGAAAGCATCATTGCAAATAAATTTTGCAGCGGGGAGTTGTGCTGTGTCTAAGTGGAATTGACTTAACTTCCTTCATAGCAGCCTGTATGGTGTGGTGTTCTGGATTTGTGACCAAAACAGTTTGATAGCACACTGATAGCTATTGCTGATCAGTGCTTACACAGCTTCAAGGCATTCTCCATTTCTCATGTGAGTTGGGGGTGGACAAGAGTATGAGAAGGAACACAGTTGGGACAGCTGACCCAAACTGGTCAGAGGGAATATTCCATTGCTCTGGGAACTCAGCTAGGGCTAGAACAAGTGCTTTCTGATTCACAGCTTAGGAGAACAGCTGTGGTAGGCTACAGGAGGAGTAAGGGATTGATAAGATATGATGTACATTAGATACATTAGAGGGAACTAGGTTGTGGCACGTGTGAAATGAATGCATGGGTGAATGCCTGAGATAGGCGATTTGGGAAGAGAACACAGGAAGGAGAGAAAGGTGATGATATTCACTAGCAAGCTGTGGAGTTATTTTTTTAAATGATGGCACTTCAATCCTGATAACTTCCTATCAGTGTAATACAGCTTTCAGTGTAAAATTTTGGAACATCTTCAGTTTTTGTGATTTGCTTTGTGAATGCTACTACACAAGTAACAGACTTCAAAGAATGGTTGTTTAAAGGATACAAGTACTCCAAAAATTTTCAGTCTCATTACAGAGGTTCAATTTGAGGAAGACAGCTGATAAATTTCTGAATTGCTTTGTACTGAACTAACTCCTTAACTGGAGGTACAATAAAAAAAAGCGTATTTTTTGTCTAATGTGAAAATTCAGAAAACAGTTACAGACAAGCTACTAATTTTTCATTAAAATATTTTTTCATGGGCCAAAAGCCTGCTGTAAAATACTGGGTTTGCTCTACAGTATTTAGAGAGTTTTGGTTTTCTGTAAATAAAGTAAGAATTTGATTTTTTTTTCAGGCAGCACACTTCCATGCAGCTGTAGCACTGGTAGTAGACTTCAGAAATGCTTGAAGAGGCTAAGGCAGAACAGGGGTTCCATGGGCTGCGTTGGAACAGCAGTACATATAATGACTTGTCTTTCCTTTGCAGGCATTGCGAGTAATGGCAAAAATTATGCGGGAATGCTGGTATGCCAACGGAGCTGCCAGGCTGACAGCTTTGCGCATTAAGAAAACATTATCGCAACTTAGTCAACAGGAGGGGATAAAGATGTAATCCTGGATTTGCTACCGAAGAACACTGTAAAAATCCCTATCTGCACCAGAGTGGCGTGTTAAGATGGTTAATTGTTCTACCTCACTGGGGGAACAGAAGGATATTGCTGCCTTTTAGTACTTCATAGGAACGTCACGTATTAGGATTTTTGTGGATGTGCTAAACAGTTGTGTTGGGTCCTTTCTGTGCACTATGAACCTCTTTCCCAGGTTACTTACAAAACATCATGTATTCTAGTTTTATTAACTTGTAATTTTTTATTTGGAAAGTTGATAGCTGGTTTTTACTAGTTAACTGTGCTAAAAGTAGGAGGTCACTTCTAAAATGGAACTGGCTCACTATATTGTTCTAAAGTGCATCAATGGCTCTTCAGGCAACTTTATTCCTGGCTGGTACATTGACTATTCTGAACCACTGTCTCAATTCCTTGATTCAGATTGTGAATGTACTTACTATTGGAGTATACCTTGCTTGCTATTTAAGGTAGTGTATCTTTTGGACTCTGACTTTGACTTACAAATTGACCTCATTCAGTTGTGGGAACATAACTTATGCAACTATACATGATTACTGGGTTTTTTCCACTTTTTCAGAACATTACATTGCCTTCAAAATAGATTGTATCACACCAGTAAGTGCCACTTTTGAGTCTTTTAATGCAAAACAGCAGGAACATATGAAGCCTTTGGTACTTTTGGTTTCAAAAATACAAGTTAAAAATCAACTGTTCCTTTGCCTAGCTAAGATCTAATTCTCACTTGTTTCAGCAACATAATTCATGGAATATTTTTGATTTTACCAAAATCTGACTCTTGATACCACTGTAGGAGTTTTAAATAGTGTAAGCTAGTAAATTCACAGTCATATTTTGTAATTGTCAAGTTATGAGTCATAATTATGTAGATGATTTTTTTTTTAATGAAGTGGTACTTCTAAAATGCTCTAAGTACCTCTTTACTTCAGAAAAGTAGCAAGAAGAGTAAAATGTTCTTAAGGGAGACTTTGTTTCATTAAATCAAACATGAAAAGCATATTTTCTGTGCAGTTCTGCTGAGTCTTAAGGCTCAAAGAACAATATTTGCAATTAAATGAGGATTAAGTGCACCTGTAATTAGAGAAAAGTTATTTGGGCTTTTGTACTAGAAAGTTCAAAGCTGCTTAAAGATTTTATGTGCATATATGTTGTGTGCCTCATACACAAAGTGGTGAGCTACAGAAAGTGGTGAGCTGCAGGTCTTTGGATACAAATACCAGAGGATTCCAGCAATCCTCTTCATAGTTAGAAGAACAAAGCTTATGGTGACTTGTGTTGTCATAAGAACACAAAAGAATATGCATGGCTTTAGTCAAGATTTCCATGAGATTTTAAGGGTATCATAAAATCTTCACAAACCTGTATAGAAATTGAATTGCTTCCTGCCCAAATGTACAGCTTCTGGAGGGGATGGGAAGAATTAAATGGAAAATTGTCCTTAAAAAACTGCTGTTACCAGAATATTTTAATTGCAGTTTTAAGAAGAGTCTGGTTGACCTTTGGTTTCATCAATGCCCAAAACAGTCCATAGTATTTCAGTGTGTAAATATGCCTCTCAGTTAATATGCCCCCTCACCTCCTACTCTCACAACACATCTGTACCCATCCCATTACACAACACACATGGCAATGTTATCTTTGCTTCCCTTTCATCCCTCAGCCCACTGAGAGTTGATCACAAAGCCGGTAGCAGTGATTGCTGACAGCAGCATAGTCTGTGACGTGGTAGCTAAAGCAGGAAGATGAGTGGGGCCTAGTAAGAAGAGGCTACATAGATGACTTAAACCTTAGCCAAGATAAGCCTTTGCACTTCACTGACTTCTGTGTTATTGCCTGCTTGGAGGTAAATTTGGTTGATTTGGGAATTACAGACCCTCAGAGGTTGAACTGCAAATAATGAAATGCTTTATTCGACCACCTTTATGGATGAGTTTACTCATACTGGAAGGCAGCATTCAGGAGAAAAGGAAAAACTAAGGGAAGTTCTTGGAAAACAGTTAGGCTTAAACATATGTACAGCTGTCACAGTTGTGTTTGTTTGGCACTATCTAACAAGTCAGGCTTATGTGCTTCAGGGCTCCATCAATCAAAGCTCAATTAAAAGTTACTTCATGTAGGTGTTTAAATACGCTATGCCTGTGTGCACATGGACAACTGTGCACCACAGCATTTTTCAGTTATGAGTGTTCAGAAAAAATCACAGAATATGTTGAGTTGGAAGGGACCCACAAGGATCATTGAGTCCAACACCTGGCCCTGCACAGGACCATCCCGAAGAGTCACACCATGTGCCTGAGAGTATTGTCCAAATACTTTTTGAACTCTGTCAGGCTTGGTGCTGTGACCACTTCCCTGGGGGAGCCTGTTGTGGTGCCCAACCACCTTCTAGGTGAAGAACATTTTTCTAAAATCTAACCAATGCTTGAATATAACTTAACTCCAAAGCCTATCTACCTGGCATGCCTCTCTAGCAAGTTCTATATATTTAGGCACATATTTGAAGAAAACAGATCAGTGTCAAAGTGTGCCTTATTGTATCTTCCTATTTAGCTTTGTTAGCTTTTTTTGTAACTTTGTTACATTTCAAGTTTTCGTAGACGTAGTTGGGTCCTTACCATTGATACAAATGATGTAGATCATACTTTAGAAACATCAGGCTTCTGTCCTGCCTCAGATCTCTATAGTTGTCCTGATGGTAACACGATGTGGTAATGTAATCAAATAATTTTTAGTGGCTTTTTTAGCACCTACAAAACTTTATCAGCATAATGTTTAATTTCCTAAATATAAGGAACAGTTCTGTGTCATTTTAAAGGGGATCTACAGCAGCTGAACAGCATCATGGCATGTGGATTATTCTGTCAACTGTAGAGGCTTGTTACATTGTCTCAACCACCTGCAAATCTTCATTCTCCCGCATTGCTAGCAACTATTTTTACTTTGTTCTAATATTTTGCTTTGTAATAGAACCTTGCAAAAACAAAGCACAGAAGGATGCTTGACACAGTGTATGACATTAGGAACAGTATTTTGGAATAACCTTATTATTCATATTGGGCTGCAGAACAGGAAAATTCTGAGTAGAGCTATATGTATCCTCAGTTCTGACACCACAACTTCAAGCTTTGTTCTTCTTTTCCATTATATCAACTGAACACCTTTTACAAAGGCTGTGTCTGTATATATTATGTAACTTTAAATGTTACCTGTGTAAGATCATATCTTATATATATGGACACAGGTACACATAAGTATTTTTTAAATTAAGATTGTAATATCACCAGATCTGCTCTTGGAAATCCAGGGGGACCAAAATATTTTAGCATTCAAAATATTAATTTTGTATCATTTCAAGTATATACCAAAACAGTTTCTGATTAATACTGATGCAAATGTTTATTGTAAATATTACATACATTACATCACTTAAGTTTTGTGGATTTAATCAATTTTACATGTTAGTAGCATTGAAGCCTCAGTTTGGTTTACAGACTTGTGATCAGGGGGATGTGGACATGGAGAACAAGGAGCATTTGAAATGGTCTGATGCTGAAGAGCCTGAAATGTCATTTTTGGAATGCTGGAATTCTTCAGGGACGTTACAACCTTAAAAGCTGGAATTCTGGGAAGTTTCTCAAGCGGACTTTCCAACTATGACACACTGTCACCCTCCAATGGTTCCACTTGTAATCCTAAGAAAGACTTTGTATATAGGTAAAGACATTGAGATTGACTGACTGTATGGGGACGTGAAGGTGTCAAATGAAGTAAGAGGCTATTTTATTTTTTCAGTAATGGCTCTGAGTGTGATTGCCATGAAATTCACCTTTTAGTTAGTTCCTCGTTTACGTTGTGCCATTGAAATGATTGCAAGGTGTTAATCATTGTGTTTAAAAAACAAACAAACCCTTCACCATATCAGTTGCTTTAAAGTCAAATTACCTCTTAAAAGACCAAGGTACATTTACCTCATGTGTATATAATGTTTAATATTTTTCAGAACGTTCTCCAGATTTGCAGTTACATGTTTCTAGAAATATGGGTATTTCTAAATTTACAACTTCAGCGGTACTAAGTATATTATCTGGTGCCCCAAAACACTTTAATTTTCTGTATTTTATTGTATTAGCAAGTTTGCTGCTTTGTCACTGTAGCACCTGCCCTTACATAGCTGTGTGGATACTGCCTTGTAAATTTTACTTTTTTGGATGATTTGAGGATCTTGTACAGATGCGTGTCACTTTTCTAAACCTTACCAAAATTGTGCATTTCCCTTACATTTCTGAAAATATGTATTGTATTTGTAGAGTATACATTTCAATGGATTGTAAATAGGGTAGTAGAAGAGTGGATGCTTATCTTAAGTGCTAACACTACAGTAGAAAGATTAAAGCAGTGAAAATAAATAACTTTTTTTCAAAATGCGTGAGTTGTCTTTCAGAGCAAGAAGTTGTGGGTAGATATGGGTTTGCATGTAGTATTCTTATCTGGTAAAATGTGGGTTTGCTGTGAATTCCTTTCCTCAGAAGAAATTTCTGCTAGCACAAAAATGATACAAGAATTTGTTAATGCTGAGGCAGTCCATCTCATCTGTGCTATGCAGATAATGTGCTGCTCTTCCTTGTGTCCTACAATAACAGTTGAATAAGAATCTTTCTGGTGTGTCTCATCTCCTGGACAAAATAACTCATGACAAATTTTTCTGTCTCTACTTTTATATATGAGTAGAAATAACAGAGCTGCTGAGGATTTCAGACTGCTTAAACAGCTCCATGCATCCCAGAACAGCAAGTTAAATTAGCTTGTGTTGGAGTGGATTGTTTCTGTGCAAAACTCTGGTTTAGGCTGCTGTTCCATTTCTGAGGGAAACTGAAGATTTAGACATGACAAAAATAGGACATCTTGCCCTTCCATAACTTTATGTGCCTCCCTTAATTTTGGCTTAGAAACAACCAGACAGAATTATGAAAAAGTACTTGTTCCAGCAACCTTTCTCCAAAAAGGGAAGCCATAAGGTGTCCAGAGAAGGCAAATAGCTCTGTCAAAACACTGTGTTCCTGTTCAAATGCTTTTACAGGAAATATGATTATTTGGCTGAAAATGCATCACTCTCCTGTGAGTGGCTAAAGGAAGGCCTCTGCTCCCACTGCAAGCAACCAAAACTCAGTAAAATCCTGAATCCCTCTCCTGCATCTACTAGTTGATGAAATGTATGGTCTGGAAATAGCGTGGCAGTGTTGCTGTTTACCACACTTAGTTTTTATTAAATAGTCTTCTGTGCTTCATGCTTTGAGGGCCTGAGCCTAACCACTGAAAAGCCATAAACAGCAAACAATTACCTCAAGTAACTTAAATGTAAAGATGTTTTAAGATCATTTTAGAGGAGACGCTGAATTTAGAAGGTCTGCATGCTGGTTTGGATTGCAAGTCAGCATGAAGAGTGGCAGACTTTCAGCTGAATTATAAGTAGGGGGCTGTTAAAATGGCTTCTTTTTAGTACCCACTGCACTGAAGTAATGAATATTTTCTGTAGGTGTAGCTAACAAGAGAGTATATAAACAAACCACTTCTATGCAGTACCAAGTATTGCAATTTTCCTTTTATCAATTTTTGTGATATTTTTAACTGATGTACAGTAATTGATGAACCTAGTAATTGTAGTATAGCATAAAGGTGGTCTTTATGCAATACTAGAAAATAGTAGAAAATAGATTCCTTTTAAAATAGGAAATAAAAATTCCAGATTTCTCATTCAGTGCTCTTACTAGCTTTTTTTATCTATCAAGCCAAGTTGTGATGTTTTAACTGCAACTAACAGTGTTCACTGTTTTGCTGATGAAACATTTACGAGAACCTTATGCTGCAAACCCCTTTACCCACATGATTTGCTGCTGTGATTTTGAGTCTCAGAATTCTGTTTTGGAGTGGCTGGAGTTGTTCCAGGTTGTTTTCTAGGTTGGAAAAAAATGTAGGCACAGCATTTCCTTTGTTAACTTGAGTAGACTGCAAATAAAGAGTCCAGTAATGCTTAGGAAACCCACAGCCTTGAGTCTTCCTGAGAGGTTCTTGAAGATTTAAATCCCCAGTCTCCAAGATGTAATGCTACCAGAAATCATTACCTCTCTTTTGAAGAGTAAAAAGCCAGAGCAAACTGTGCTGATAGGTTCCTATGCAGGATTACTGTGTTTATTGGTATTAAAAGAGCTATATGGAGATACTTTCAAATTGTTTTAAAAAGAAATAATTTATGCTAAAGGCAGTATATTCTCTACATTTCTAATTAAAAACAGATGGCTTCTTTAGGCCATTTGAAACCTGGCTCGAGTTAAAGAAACTTCTTTAATATGTTATTCAGCTGATATATGTTTAGGTACTACTCTTTTTCACATCATGTCACTCAATTTTAGAAAGTGAATGGCAGCTTGGATCTTTTTTCATCCAGTGGATCTTCTCTACTGGGAATAATTATATTGGTATTTTTGCGTTGCCTTTTGTGTGTATTTAGTGTTGTAGCATGAAGAAAGACAATTCCAGCGCTCATCTTCCTTTCTTACTTGCTTACTTCCCCTCTCTGCTTTAGCTAATGCAAAATTCTGCTTGCTAGCATGTGTGCTGAGTCACTGGCACTCAGCTCACCCCATCTCCCCACAGTTGCATTTCCTGCTCCATGTGAGAAAGGCATTTGGAAAGCTGGGGGCAGTTGGTTTGTTTTAGTTCGTTTGAAGAGGTACTCTTTCTCTGTGATTTCTCAAGCTTTTCTTGCTTTTCTTACAGCCTGGCTCTTGGAGACTTTCTTCTCAAGTAAACTTCAGTGAGAAATTTTATCCCAGTAGTAGGTCTCGCTCTCCTTGAAGTCCTACCTTTATTGTTATTGTTATGAGGGGAGAAGAATTTTCACAGGCCATTCCTGACATGAGCTCCCTTACTTGTGCACGCCTTCACACAGAACACTTCACAGGTCGTTGTTTTGCTTTTGCTTTTGCCCCTTACTGTTTGAAATTTACAGGATGAAACATCTCTATTGTGTGCTTGAAGTTTGCAGAATAAAACATCTCTGTTGATATGGACTGTGACTCCAATATCCTTAATGTTCAAAATCTCTCCTAGATTTTTTTTTGCATAAAGCAGTTCAAAAGTATACTGTAAAATACAGCAAACTGTAATGCTTTATTTCTTCTGTAATGATGTTCTGGTTGAAATGAGTTGCTGTTGCAAGACTTCATTGAGTGACTTACAGAAGTACACCTCTGTATTGG